GAGGTCCGGCAGGCAGCCCTCTCTACAGTGGGCCATGAGCTGGAGGATCCACCGGTGCTGGGCTCCGATGCACTGCCACGCAGGGTCGCCCGGGGCGTGGAGGTCGCTCAGGTACCTGGAACAGCAAGCACAGGCTGAGCGCGTGGCTCCTGCCACTCAGCCAGGATGAGGACAAGAGGAAAGCCAGCATGTGTGACAATCATTCCTTCTTAAGGAATCTGAACTCCGCCAACTAGGAGGCCCTGCCAGCGCCAGTCTTCAGTGCTCACTCTGCATGGAGCACACTTCAGGTTCTTTCATGCAATTAACAAACAATGAAACTGCATTAAAAAACCAGAACTTTATAAACAGACAACCAAGAGAACAAGACACCTGCCAGGGCCCCAGGTCCTCGGCAAGAGCTCCCCCTTGTCACAGAGAAAGAACAGGCAGGAGCCGCAGGCTACTCGGCGGCATTTCCGTTCCTCTCTGGTGTGAGATCGGCCGCCAGGTGGCAGTGTGCCCCCGCGTCCCACACGGCCCAGGCCTCCGTGCTGCGAGGGGTCTGGTGGCAGCAAACACAGACCTCTGAGGTCCAGACTCCAGTTCAGAAAAAAACATTCCTCTAGAAGATGCAGTATAGATGGACATTTTTCTTACTTTAAAACAGTTCTTAAAATATTTGAAGTCTCTGTATAATATCCAAACCCGGATAGACAATTTCAGTTTCACGGATTTCAGCTGAAAATTTTCTGCTAAATATTACTCAAAACTCAGCCCTTATGAAACACATAAATATGACAAGTTAAATACAATTAAATAAACTTCAAAAGCTGGATTTATTGTCTGAAAATTACTCTTAAACCACAGCGGTCTGTTGTCTAGGGGTCAAAGTCTTGCTCAAGGACACGTGCTAATTAGCGGCCACACGCTGTGACGGCTTGTCACCCAGCTTCTCCAGGACCCGGCACCTCCTCACTCGACTTCTCCGTCAGCAGCTACTTGCAGGAGGAGCACTGGGTGACAAGCCAGCAATACACAAAGCACCGAGAAGAGAGCTGGCACCCACTTGGAACTGTGCACCTGCCCCGCCTCCCTCCACAGGCGGACAGGAAGCTGGCGCCTGTGGGGCCTCCCTCCGCCGCCGCCAGGGGAGACAAGTCAACCACTGTGGCCCCAGCAGGAGGCCACAGGTGGACAGGTGCCGTGCTGCTGGCACGAAACCCAGCCAGACTGCCTCGCATGCAGGCCTCCTCTGGAACCTAAGTACGGCAAACAGCACACAGTGTCTAGGTTTATCCCCCTGCTGGGGCATCTGCCCGGGCCTTCTGCTCAGGCGGACCTGCTCTGCCCGCAAAGACCCCTGAAGCAGCGCCCCCAGATGCTGCCACGCGCACGGCGGCCTCAGACCTGCAGCTGCGGCACCGCGCGGAGCGTCCTTCCAGGGAGGCAGGGAGGCTGCCTCCTCTCGGTCTCTGCGCTGCAGAGCGGGCCCAGAGGGCCTGTCACACGGGCCCCTTCTCCCACACGACAGCAAGAGGGCTTTCTAACATCCCGAGTCTCCTCAGCATGTTGACTAGGTCCCTGCAGAATTTAGTCACAGCCGTCTTTCCATCGTCTCATTAATGGGCATTACGTCAGGAGAGCTTTACGAAGAAGGGTGCACCTGTTGTCCTGGAAGTCCTGCGGGCTCAGGTTGTCCCAGTGGTGCCCGTCCTGCCTTGGTGCAGGGACCTGACCTGCTCCCTTCCGTGGCGTCCACTACGTTGACTCTGACTGTTCCTTTCCTCAAGCATCCCCACTCCCCCTCAAGACCAGAAGCTTTCAGAATGTTCTCTGCTGTCGAGCCACGGCCACCCCAGGGGCCTGGCGACCCACCCGCCCGTGTGCCCTCTGTGGACACCAGTCTGGGAGCCCTGCCTGCCCTGCGGGGCGGGGAAGGTGTGAGGCTGCTTTTCCTCCTCCAACGGGCAGGCTTTTCTGGCCCCTCCAGCGTGAGCGCTCCCGGATGTATCAGCACACAGAGGATTCTGGTGTCCTCACTGGGTATCCCTGAGTTTCTGCCCTTTCACCATTCCATCCGTCTCCCAACTTCCCCCAGAATGAGCTTTAGGAGTACGCGCCGTATCCAGTACCGCCTGGATGCGTGTCACACATCAACATCCTTGCAGAAGGGTTACCTTATGTAACGTTTCTGGTCATGTAAGGTCGACGGCGTCTCAAGCAACTTATCCAGAAGTAATTCCCTCAAAGCTTCAATCCGCATTTCTACTTCAGCATAGTCTATTCAAGAAGGAAAGAATGACAACTTTAAAGTCAAATTACGGAAAGCAGAACTGTGGCTGCCTCCGTGTAGTCTGGCTGGCTGAGAAGGGGCCCAGGGGACCTTCCGGGGTGGTGAGAACACCCTGTCCTGGGTGTGGGCCCAAGGGCGTGAGCACCTGGCAGGCTCGCTGACCTGTGATGTGGAAGTCTGTGCGCTTCACTGCCCATAAATCTACCGCAATAAAAGCAAAATTAAGCTCTCCGAGCCCTCGCGGACCTCACTTACAAACATAATCACGCCCTGTGCCCTTTCTCTTGGCCCAGAAGGCACTCCTACAGGGCATTTTAGGCTTTTCTCTCTCCTGTGACTCTGGCCTCAGAGATGATGTGAAAAGTTGTTTAGTTTACTTTAACGTAGAGCTAGGGTTCATAAACATGTTGGCCTTTCTGAAGAGAGAAGATTAAAATGTAGTTTCTGTCTCTACAAAATATCTGTAATTAATTCTTTCCAGCAAAAAAGACCTCTTAATCGCATCGTGATTAACAAGCGGCAAAGAACGCTCAAGACTAAGCTACCCCACGGCTTTCACTCCGTCTCAGTGAGAAAAGCCATCGTGTTACTTCTGAAGTGACTGCTTCACACTTGAGAAAGAGCACCATGTAAACAAAAACTAAAACGCATAGAACATTCTTCACAGAATACATTCCACATTCTTCCTATTACAATGAAGCAGAAAATCAAACAGTAATAAACAAAGCTTACATTTCTTGAAAACTTGCACCTCTGTTTTCCCAAAAAGAGACTTGGCCTTTTCATAATCGTTAATAACCACATCATAATCACCCTGTAAAATAAAGAAACATTTTGGAGACTGTCAGTAAAGTTAACGAAGAAATTTGGCTGAGATAAAAACATCTTAACAACTCTTTAAAACCGCTGGCACCTAGGACCACGGGCACATGGACCCGCGCCCACCTTCTGAATGTTCCTCTCAATGTTCAGAGGGAGGTTGAAGAGGAACTTGAACCTCTGCAGCACGTTGAGGGCGTTCCTGGTGGAGTCGGCCTTGTCCTTCCGCCCTAGGACTTCTTGAAACAACGTGTCCGCCGTGTTACTTGCTCCTATTTTAAAAGGACAAAAAGAAACTTAGATAAAAAGTTACTTTAATCTGAAAATGTGTAACTGGGCAAAAGAAACAAAACGTCAGACTGCTACTGTACTTGACGTTAAAACTCAACAGACTTTTCCGAAAGTCAGCATCATCGCAGGTCTTCTACGGTCTGCTAAAATGCAACTTCCATTTTGCCTGGTAAGTCTCTTCAATGTTAAGAATGGCATCCAATTAAGAAGAACCATGCTCACCAGGCCCAAATAAACTCTCCACTGCGAACCTACATTTATTTTAGCTGCTCTTCTAAATTTGACAGTAATCATGGCCCCTTAAGTTATTTCACTAATTCAGACAACAGGTTAAAACGCATATTCACACGTGTGCATACACAAGTAACTAGTTAATTCTCTTGGTTCGGTATCTACATACCCATGGTAATAAAAATAAACAAGGAGGAGTTTTTCAAAAAAAGTTGTTCAAAAGAAATACATAGACCTAACCCTATTTCTCAGTAAAATTCTCTATGTAGCAGGCTCAAAATTATACAAGCAATTTAAAATAAACTTTAACACACCATCGTAAGTATTTCTTAAATCAGCTGATTCTTAATAACGTGATACGCAAACTGGGCATTATATACACATATATATAAATACATACACATTTTACCTAACAGACCTCAAACTATATGAATCACTGTAATGAAAGTTCATTTAAAGCAAAGTTTACTGTGTACAAAAATAGTTAAGCTTTCTCAACTTATGAATGATTTTTAATTAGCTGCAAGGAAAGGGGAGAAAAAAGATAAACTTCTTTGGCCGTCTGATCACTGCTCATGAAAGTTTCTACATTTTTCTGGTCCAGTGACTGTACTTAAAGCAAAGATGAAGAAACGCCTTCGGTCTCGCTGGGCGGGGGCAGGCTGCACTCCCGGGTCCACACCGTGGGTGGTCGTCTTTGGAACGTAACTTTTATCTAACTGCTGGTTAAATTCTGTTGAAATTTTAAAAGCCTGATATAAAACCTTTGTTTTGTCAAGATAGCTGTTTTCACCACGTGCTATTTAATGTAGAAAACGAAGTTTCTACTAGGAGAAACAAAAATTCCCTTCTTGGCACCAAACCACATCGTGGTGAATAACGAACACTGGAAATCTGATTAGGGCTTAAAGGTATTTTTCTTGGAAGAAAATTATTATTAAGCATTGTTTTTATCATTTAAAAATATAAACTTCATGAATTGAGGCTTCATAAATGAATAGACACGTGAATATTCTTAAAAGTTTGATTACCTACGTGTGCGCTGCGGATGTTAAATCCCCAAGCCCCTTTTTTTGGACAGTGAAGGAATTTGGTGCAAAAGTGTGAGCTCAAAATTAGACTTTTCTCATCTTATTTTAAAGGTAATAGAAGAATACCAACTAGTAATTCTAATGCCTCTAAAAAGTGTGAAAGTAAGTTCAGGTAGAAAATCCACTTAAAATTAAATCAAATACAGACATTATTTAATGCCAAACATTTACTATGAACTATGAAATTACAGACTATAAAACTATAATTTATTACACAGAAATGGATACACAGAGGATTTTAATTTATGCACAGGAAAACTCTACGTTATGAAATTGTAAATTCTGTCCAGAAATTGTTCTGCTGTGAACTTCACTGCATCACCACAAGATCTGGGGAGTTCGCAACTCCAGTAACTAGGTGACTGCGCCCGTTAGTGAAGTACGGGGGAGCAACGCATCAAGCCTGGTGGCAGCAGGTAAGAGCCAGCATTCGCTGCGGAAGCCTGAGGACAGAGGGCCAGGGCCCTCGGGAGCCGAAGAGCCTCCACCCGCCCCTCCAGGATGCCCGCCCAGTGCGATGCCGAGCAGCCCTGGGCACGTCCACACCTGAAGACTGTCCCCCATCTCGCAGGGACAGTGACGGCACGGCCTCGGTGACGGCACACTCAGCACCGACAGCAGTGACAGCGGCCCCGGGGCTGGGCCGACAGGGCAGTGGCCTTCCCCACCGTGTCAGCCGGGACAACGTGGAGGGTCCTGCGGGCTCCGGGCCACGTGCAAGCAGAGACAGACATACGTTGCTCATCACCCAGACGCCAGGCCTGGAAGTGCCTCTTGGCAGCAGGTGGGGCCAGGGGTCCGACCGCCAGTGCTGGGGCGCAAAGCTGCTGACGCCGTGGACGCCGTGACGCTCAGACGCCTCACCACAGAGAAGCGGGGCCGCGTGTTGACCACATCTCAACAGAGCTGGGCCAGGCCAGCACCGCATATTCACCAGACTCACACCTGCCGCCTGACCTCACTCCCTCACAATGGGAAAAACCACGATTGTCCAGAAGCCAGCGTCTAGAAGGACTAGCCTGTGGTTCTGACGGCGCTGCGTGGCTTCAAGCACGTCCACCGCAGTAAACGCTAAGCTCTCTCCTGTCTGTTTCCTGCGCTGCACCTGAGACAGGACCGCAGGGTGGAGTCCGCTCAATGTGAGCCGGGGGGGCTGCAGCAAGGCGCTCCCCCACAGACCCCGACACAACTCACCCCAGGAATACACAAGCCGAGTAAGATTTAAGGTGACTGTAGCACGTACGCTTAAACTCACAGTAAAACCAGGGTACCAAGGTCCTGAGCAACCTACTGTGTGTCTCATTTCTCTCAACAGATTCCAGAGAGCGGCCGGGAGGGCAGGTCGTCATCACCAGTCACCAAGCACCTGCTGCAGAGCCAGGCCTGGCGCTGGGGCTCCACGCCCCACACTGCGTGGACACAGCTGGAATCTCGGCTGAGGGCGGGGGACAAGCCGTCCACCCGGCTCCCAGGAGCATCACTCCCAAATCTTCCCAGCTTGTGTTCAGGACCCTCAGCTCTGTGGCCTGAAACCAGCCGCAGTGGGAGTTTAACACACGGGGACGCCAGCATTACAGGTAGCTTTCTCTTTCTTTCTCTTCTGGAATGCCAGTCATTAAACATTTACCAGCACAGCCCTGAGCAGGGGTCAGTTCCCTTTTTACAAACGGGACTCTTACTGACATTCCTCAGTGTTCTAGGTCCTTGGCTTCCTTCTTCTTACTGTACACACAGCACTTGGGAAATCATTCGGTCCTGGTGACTCCCAAGGCTCCATCTCAGACGTGCCCGTCAGCTTCAGACTTGTCCTTGCATCTTCACATACACATACGGAGACAATCCTCTTGAACGACTTCGCCCATCACAGAGGAGGTGCTCGTTCTGAGCCAGCCCACAGGCGGAGTCCAGTCTTCCTGGGGGGAGGACTCAGACCCGCGAGAGCACGCCTGTGACAGACCGAGTCCCTCCGAAGGGGCCCCGAGGCAGAGCGGGGGCACATGGGGGGTGCGCACAGGGCAGGAACCCTGAGTCCAGGCAGGCGGCGGGGCTGGCTTTAGCCAAGGACAGCGGAGAAATCGACCCTCAGACCCTCGGCCCACCTGCCCCTGCGAAGAGCTGAGGAGGCAAAGGGGAAGAAGACGCCATGGGGGAGAAAGACGTCTCAGCATCCAGGGCCCTCCCAGCCCCCACGGAGCGTGGGCGCCCCACACAGCCCACCCTGGCCCTTGCTCCACGCTGGGCCTGCTCCAAGAATTCATATCAAGTCCTCTAAAATTCTCAAGGTTCAAAAGCACATACCACTTCTTAAGGCATTTAAACTTGCTCTGGTCCCCATGAGACAGGCACCACGTTAACCCCCGTTTACGGTGCAGGCCACTGAAGCACAGAGGTCCCTCAACTTGCTCCCCGCAGCCCAGCAGGAGGCAGGGGACGGCCATGGTCCAACCCTTGGGAGTCTCACACTCAGCGGGCCCAGACCAGCTTACTTCTGTCCTCTCAGCTCCTCGGCCCCAGACCGGCCCCTCTTCCTCTGGGGGATGCCAGTCAGGAGTTCGTCACGGCCGCCTCCTTCCCCTTTGTCCCACATCTGTCCAGTGACGCTGCGCCCTCACTCCTCAACGCCCACCCTCCCCCACTGCCTGCACCCGGGGAAGGTCCCCCACAATTCTCCGGTCTCTGTAGAGCCCCCTTCTCACCCATTCTCCAGGCAGAATGTGACCCCTATTTAAAAGCCACCCAGAGCTCCCCACTATCTCAGGACGAAGACAGACCCCACAGAGCAGCACAGAAGGCCGGTCACCAGCGGACCCTGCCCACCGCAGCCTCCCTCTGGCTCCCGCACACCCGCCCCCCTGAGCCTCGCCCTGCCTGGAACCCACTGTGTCCACCCAGTCCCACCGTCCAGCCAGTGTCGGTCTGCCCGGCTGCTGCCTCCTCCTCCCTGAAGGCTCACGGCCCTCGCCTGGTGTCCACGGGGTCCACTGCACTTTTCCACTGGGGGCCCAGGCTCCGGGATTCACGCCAGTGGAGCATCACCGCACAAGCTTAACCACCTGCCGCTCTGTCCCGACTCCTCACTGGATTACACACTCTCAGAGGAAAACACAAGCTCTCCCTCCTGCTTCCGGGACGGAGAGCACAGGGGCTCACAGAGCAGGACCAGAGGCCGCCTCGGAGTCAGCGCCCCGACTCTGCTCCGAGCGGGGCGGGACGGTGTGGGCCCGCGTCCCGGACCGCACCAGGGGCCGGGCAGCTAAACCGAGCAAGCCAGCCTAGCCACTGAGGGAAAATTACAGTTGTCCCGTGACTTCTGCAAACTTTTGTTGAAACATGAAGAACTCACTGCTGGTTCCGAGTAGGTAAAGAACAAGTCAGTAAAACTAGTTTTTATATAGCATACGATAATTTAAAACATCAGAAACACTGAAAATTCAAGGCTCCAATTTCTTTGTAAAAAAATTATCAAGATGCCTGCCTTCTTTTCTCATCACAAAACCTACATGACAGTCTTCTCTACGTTCCGTCAAACGACCGATCACGCCACTTCCTGAATCTGCTGTAAAACGTCACGGGCCCCTCTCAGTGCTCCGGCCAGCGTCGCCCCTCGGGGACAGCCTGCCCCGCCACACCGTCCTGGCTCCCCCTCAGCCTGTCCCTCGAGTCTCCCATCCCAGCAGCCGCTACGTCTACGACTCCAGTCCTCCAGACGTGAACCCACTTACAGCCGTCTGCTGATGCACATTCAGCCCTGTGGGCCGACCCCCTCTTCCGAGTCTCCATTTCTGTAAGACGTCCGTGAGCTGCTCTCTGGGAGACGAGGAGGCCACACACAGACACGCGCTGCAGTCTGAGCGGGACCTGGCAAGATGTGTGCAGGAGTCCCCCAGACTCCACTGGAAGAGCAGCCAGGTGTCCGTCACCGACGGGCACTCAGTGGTCTGCACGGCTGGCAACCCCGTGTATGCTTCATGCAGCTGTGGCGGGAGCCCTGGTCACTGAAAGCGTGTGCACACGCTCCAAACCACGCCAGCAAAGTCTGTCTCCAGATTAGACATAAGGTCAGAGCCAGATTTCTAGACACAAACCCCAGCCCTGCCGCTTAACACTTAACGCTACGTTAGGGAATGCATTTAATCTTTCTGGACTTCAGAGTTTTCCATCAGTAAGATGGAGACAACAGTGCAGACCTCGCAGGGTTCTGTGGGGCTAAACATCTGCGCACAGTGTAGAGCAGCACCTGACCCCCTAGCAGCGCAGATGCTTCTGCCGTTACGGCTGCAACGTAAGCGCCTGTGCCGCGCTGTCTGCACCCGCACCGCCCAGCCGGGCAGCATGGCCCCACGGGGCACTGCAGCCCAACCCCGAGTTACTAAAATTAAGTAAAAACTAAACATGAAGTTCCTCAGCGACCGGCCCCATGCTGTGTGCTCCGCAGCTCCACTTCTGCCACTGCGGACGTTCTGCTGGGCAGCGCGGGCCTGCTCCTGCACAGGTGACAGCACAGAGCTGCTCCACGGACTCAGCAGAAATTAACCGTCATCACTTCGCTGGCTTGAAATCAAGAAGGAATTACTAAACACAAAGGCAAACATAGAAACGTATCAGTGAAAACAGAAAAGAACTTCAACGAAAGGCTTCAACGCAGACAAACTCTTCATAGAGTGGGCTTGGCTCCTCGAAGTCAACGTTACCTTTTGAAACTTAGTGAAAAACGTTGCCCTAACTCAAAGCTTTCATTTAAAATCACTCAGCAAAAACACATGTAAGTTGGAACATAACTGCACACGAGACTGAAGCGTTAGTAACAACGACACCCCTCTGACATAATGTCTGCGTCTGGTCCTGGGCTGCCCAGCTCCGGCAGGGTGGCGACCAGGGCGCACCGGGCGGGCAGGGGACGCGACCCTGGGGCCGCAGTCGCGGCCCCTGCCGCTCTGCCTCCACCCCACCCCGCACAGCACTTCCGCACAACTGGCCTTGTAAATAAATGGTGACTTCTCAGACAGGAAAAAGGAACAAGGAGACATCTCAAGGCAAAGTGATGATAGTAGTAACAACAAGTGACCAAAGGGAAAATACGCCAGGGCCGGTCAACTTGCAACCTTGCTTTCCGGGGAAACCAAACGCCGCACGCGCTTGTGGTTAAGAGCAGGAGAGCCCTGGGCGTCGCCGTGCCCTGCCGAGTGCCGCTGCCCGCGTGGAGGGGAGCGCCGCCCCTCCGAGTCACGAGCGCTGGAGCAGGGCTGATTCCCCCGGCGAGCGTTTCCCACAGCAGCGTGACAGCGGCTGGGAGCCAGGGCGCCAGAAAAAGGGGAGGTGGACGGGCCCCAGAGTGCGTGTGTCAGCTTTTCTAGGCCGACAGTGCTCACAAAGTACCTCGGGGCCGGAAACACTCTTAAGTACGCAGCTGCCTCAGATCTGTTCTGGAATCAGGCAAGGCGTAAACGGCCCTAAGTGACCAGACGGCAGTGAGCACCTGCCGTTCTAGGCGCCAAGGTTCTCCGCGTGGACGCTGGCAGGTGCGCGAAGATGCTCTCTCAGGGTCTGGTCCACGACAGACCTGGCCACCGCCTAGCAGTTTTCCATCTCTGACGGTGCTGTTTATACACTGACCTCCTTCACGGCAGCAAATGTTACTTCAGACGTAAACTGGCTCGCTCTCAAATGATGATGTCTCATAAACACAACGCAACAGAAAGAGAACATCCATTTTCAACGTCTGTATCCCCTTCGTGTTCATTAAGTCATTACCATTTGGAAGCAAATACTGAAATCACTTGCTGCCTGTCCCGTGAGCCCAGGTCCCCACAGGCAGCTCAGGGCTGTGGGCAGAACTTACTGTTCAGAACGTCCTCCAGCCTCTGCGTCATGGACCCCCCTACTCTTTCTGTGCCGTCCGCCTCCAGTTTCTGATGGATGGCTAGAAAAACAGTGGAAACACAGGCTGCTTTAATGGGTGGGAAAACAGTACATTAAAATCACGTTTTTAAACAGCTTTAAAAATGGTGCTTTTTCACTGCTGCAAAGAAGCACAAACAGGCAAAAACTCTGCACAAACCCTGCAAGGTGACCAGCGGCCCGGGTCTACGTCACGGTGGTCTGACACTATGAAAACAGCACGTGATACGTGTGCTTAGCTGCCTGACCCTCAAGACAAGTGGCAACGAATGAGGAAGAAGCTGGATGAGGAAAGTGAGGCTTAAGCAACTAATATCTTTGGTATCTGGTCACAGGAAAGTCGTTATTTCTCAGTTTAACCAACTGCAAAATAGAAAATACAGCTATTTTAAGTCCATAAACCTCAAAACACCTAACTCCAGCCCTGGGACATACACGGCTAAAGGCACCCCGCTCACGCCCTACTCGTTCTAGCATTCCTTCCCTGGGCGCCAGGAGACAGCCAGGGACAGCAGACACACCGGTCTGTGGATGGACTGACCACACTGGCAGTTTCCGCCGTTCCTGACACACGTCTGAATGGTTCTGACACAGTACTGGAAAATCACTAATGATTTATATTTTGAAACCTGTCCCACCTGCTAAAGAGAGAGGAGGCTGTAAGCAGAGCAAGTCAGGCTTGCCCGCGTGAAGCATCGGGAAAACTTCAAAACAAACAGCAAATGACAATTTCAAATCCAAAACTGTGACACGGTAAAAACAATAAAAACAGCAAGGGCGGGTGTTAACCGGGGCACGACCGTGAGCAGGACACCGTGTGAGTTTCCAACACGTCCCTCACCTTGTCAGAAGCCAGTGATGAGGTCCTCATGTCACTTATGCTTCACAAGGGGGAAGCCATGGCTCTGTGACGTTAAACAAGGTGACCAAGGCCACAAAGCCACGCCCAGAATCGGAGCCCAAGCAGTCTGACGCCAGGACAAACGGCTTCACCCTGTCCTGCCCCCACGCACGGGCAGGTGACGCGAACTGCCTAAGCCTCTGTTTCCACTTCTTAAAATGGGGAAGGCAGACTTGTCAGTGGGGAACCGCATTCAGGTGCAAGTAAGAGACCTCTCTGCAGGTCACAGGCGCTGGAGCAGCAGGTCATGTTTCACGGCTTGCTCCAGCGCCACCGAGAGGCGTCACAGCCAGGACTCCTGCGCGAGAGCTGCTCTCTGACACTGACTCCTCGGGAGGGGCTTACAGGTTCCACCCTCGACCCACCAGCCCTGAGTGGCACATTCATGGGGAAAAAAGAAATCTGTCTAACGAGCAAAATAGACGTGCGTTTCTTTAATCAACTTTAATTTAGTTGATTTCCCTTCACTCACTGGCTAAGAAATTCTGGGTCAAATGTGCCATGGACACGTTCTCAGTGCGTGGCAACCTCTACTCCTCTGCTTCTTTTAATTAGGTTCTAATCCTAATTGTGTCCTTTTTTACAGTTTTTGTAAAACAACCTCAAAGTTTGTTTGAAATTCTAAAACAGACTGCTTCTCTGCTGAAGAAACACATTCACAGGAAAAAAAAAAAAACATGGGGGTAAAAAACCCAGCCACTTTCTTTTTAATTGTCTTGGTTGGTTTAGGAATGAAAAGAAAGTTGTTTCTTTAACGTTTCAAATCTGGATTATGTGGTGACATAAAACATTTCCACATAGCTAGAACTTCTTAAGTTAAATTGAAAAGAACTCTTCAATCATTAAGGGAAGGAGATAAAAACGCCTGGGTATTAAAAACCAAAACTAGACCGCTGGATCCTGATGCAGGGGAAGCCGCCGTGGTGCCGCCAGCCGGGCTGCAGGGACAGGCGTTCCGAGGTGTCACAGCTGACCGCAGCCCTGCCCGGACGCTGCCTCCTAAGCCCTCGTGCTCAGCAGGTCACAGCCCTTTCCTGCCGCAAGTGGCTCCCCGCCCACTGCCGCCCAGCAGACCTGCCAGGTGTCAGCCAGCACGAGGACCAAGAGACACTGGGGTCTGACCAAGGCAATCCTGTTTTCCAGAAAATGAATCCAAATAACCCAATGCCTGGTTCACTGGACCTTTACTCTCTCTGAAACATTTTAAAAAAGTAACTCAATAAGCAATGCAGTCCACAATCACAGGCTTGTGGTTTCTAACCTATTACACCTTAAATATGTGAAGTAGTTGAACATCATACGCCTAATTTTGGAAAACAAAAAAGTATGTACATAAAAGTTCTATTCAAAGAAAAAGCAGTTACAGAAAGACTGCCTACGATTCACTAAAACTGTTTCTTTTATTTAACTGTCTAACAGAACATGGTCATCAAATTTTCCAGTTTCAATAAAAAAAATTCATCATTCTGCCTGCGCATTTAGATGGTGAGCAGTGAGGAGCGGTGTATGTGCGGCGGGGGTCGGGCACACGGGGCCCGCGGCCTGGCCCCTCGCCCAGTTAGCACTACTGCCGGTGTGGGGCAGGTCAGGTGGCAACTAGCTCTCTGCGCAACAGACAGCAGTACCATGGGCTTGGGGGCCACCCGGGGCCTCTACCTCACGTTCTTCTTCTCCCTCGCTTTTTGAAACAACTTTGAAAGACAGGCATGTTAAGCGCCCGGGGTGCACAAGACAAGCGTGGCCTGACTGGCCCAGGCGCCAACCCCAAGGGTGATGCTGAACCAGGAGCCCAGGCAGCGTCAGGGTGAGGTCCCCGAGGACGCAGATTTATGCAGAGCTTCCCAAACGTTCAGGTTTTTACCGCCTACTCTGCCAAACTCTTACCAGCGTGGCCAAATCAGGTACCAACCACATCTAACTCGGTTAGTTAATCTGTGAGCCCTTTCCTTCCTCAGTTGTACTGAAAAAATAGAATGATTCCAACTGCTCCTTACAGACTGGCAGGTATGGCGGGTCCCACTTAGACAAGCGGGCCCCGGAAAACCATCCTGCCCAGACCACCTTCGTCTTGCTCGCCGCTCACTCTGCCTGGGCCGCCTCCCTCGGCCGCTCCTCACCCAGGCGACCCCGGAGAGGGCAGTTCACACAGGCTGGGCCCACCGCACTCTCGCAGGAGCAGGCGGTACTGCTGCACACGCCACTGAGAACAGGTGACTGGACAGGGGAGGGTCAGAGGCCCTTCCTGGTGAGGAAGCCCCGCAGCCTCAAGAACTGGAAGGGAAGGCGAGCGACAGCCACAGAAACTGAAGGGTGGTGCCCGGGCAGTTCCGCAGGACACAGTGAAGAAAAGACCAACCGTAAGCGAAACACACCGAGGTTATGCTCGGCAGGTCCCTTACGCCAGACACACTTCCTGTCAAGTTCCAGCTAAGACACTCACGGGAACACAGGAACAGAGACAACAGCATAGAAGCCTGAAGATCAATAAAAGCCACACAAGAGGGCAAGAGCTGCTAACTGTGCACCCGACTGGGACGGGCTGGAAAACTCTCAGGACTGCGCGTGAAAGAGCCCCTCAGTCGAGAGAGGAGCACAGGCGACACCAGAAGGCAGAGGAAGGCGTCTGTGCAGCCGCCTGCCACACAGGCTGGCCCGGACCAGACACCCCTTCAGACCTGCTCCCGGCTCTCCTCAGGACCGCCGCCCCGCTCCCGCAGCCAACAGTGTCTACGTGCGGAGCCCCAGGGAACGCTCTGGACGCCGCGCGCGAGTGGACACGCCGCGCGGCTGGCTCCTTGGCTACCAGCCAGATCAGTGTGGCCGCGACTCCCCCGGGAGGGCACCTGGACCTGGCGTGGAGCTGCCTGGCCTGCCCCAGCATCCTTCCCAGGCTGAGCTGCAGCAACCCGTCACTGGGGGGACAGAGCTCCGCGAGCCCTGCCGGGCCTCCTCCCCCAACCACAGTCCTGCCACAGTCCTGGGAATCGCCCCAACTGCACAGGCACTGTCGTCGTTATTGCCCTGTAACGTAGCGCTGATGCCAAGAGAACTCAAGCCGAGGCTGCAAAGTGAGTACGTCCCCCACACAAGGGAAACCTGACAGAACCAAAATTAGAGAGGGAGATTTGCCTGGCATGTTACTGAAAATAACCTAGATTTTAAACCGTGCAATGAATCAGCCACTGATAATAACGCATCAACCAGCGTGCCCTGAGGAGAACACGCAGTCACAGAGAACGGAGGCGCCTCAAGACACACATTTTCCGTCCATTATGCAGTCGGACAAGAAACTGACTTTAAAAAACAAACTACCAGATCAAAGAGAAAAATTAGAATTTCAGATTTTAAAAACACGAAAAAAGGCATAACCTAAGAATCATTCTAAATAAAGGAAGTAGGACACACAAGTGAACAAAGCTGACCAGAACAAAGCTGGGCCTCCCACGTGAACTTCAAAGGATTTAAAAGATAAAAATCAGGGCCCAGACACTCTGACACAGGTCACCTAACCCCAGCTCCCATCTGGGCACTCACATTCACTCCTGCTGAGACCTCCCTTCTCCTGCAAAGGCAGAGCTGTACCAGATGCCCCGCCGACAAGGCAGAAGTCAGCCAGGCATATCTGGCCCAGGAGCAGCAGGGTTTTAAAAACGGAAGCGTGTCTGAACTTGAACAACACAAATTAATTTAAAGAATGCAGTCTTTCGGAACTGAAGGTGTGGCCCCTCAGTCTACGGTTAGGGCCACAGGTTCTGAGCTACACAGGCACCTGGCTACAGGTATGTTTGTCTCTAAGAAGAACAGCGCTAACTTTTCCTAATGTACTTCACTTTCTACTAGATGAGCTGCCCTGCTTCTGCCTCACGCAGCTTCCCTGCACGCAGGGAAAGGTGGCTGTCGCGTGGGGCTGGTGGGGGGAGGGCCACAGGAAAGGACACGTCACCACCACCAGTCTTCCCCAGACCAAACGCCAGCGGATCACACCTGCAGAAGGAGCCCCACGTGCAAGACATTCATGGCTATAAAAGGACTTTGAGAACTCCAGAATTTTATCCGTTAGTGTTTAATTCCTCATCGGCCCTGGGCGCTGGGCAGGGCGGGAAGGCAAAGTGGCCTCCTATGTCACACATGTCTGCCAGCCAACAAAGCCTCAGGGACAAATGCTGAAAGCACCAAGCAGCCAGCCTGCAGCAGAGACGGACGGCCACGGTGGATGTCTGCTCTGCGGACCCGCCCATGGCACAGCCCATCAGCACCCTGCGAGCAGGTGCTGGCTCAGCTGGGGACGCCCCACAGATGCTCTGGGGCCACCTTACCTGAGAGGGCGTCCTGGGCCTCGAAGAAGGTACTGAGCCCCCCTTTCACGTATGCCAGGCTTCCCTCGCTCTTCTTGTTAGCCTGTCTCTTCAGGTGGGTGACCGCTCCCTTGAGCTGCTCAAAACTGAAATGAGACGAGGAAGCCAGAAGGTAGCGTCAGGTGTACAGTGCTGACATCACTTAAGAAAGAAGCAGACTGAGACCGCACGGAACTACACGGAGCCGAGCTTTCAGATTCTTCCCCGGACCTAACCCCTTGCTCACCGTGGAGGCCAAGGTTACAGTAGCTGCACGAGGTTTGCAGCCTCAGATGTCAGGCCCCCAGGAAGTGAACACACGGACGGGTATTCCCACAGTCCGTGCCCAGCATACACGTGTTGTGCCAGGTAAGGGGTTCTGGGCACCACCTCCCGCCGGGGAGGCCTGGACCATGCGCTGCTGGAGCTGCCTGAGGCAGGGCTCCAGGGACGCCCGCTGCTGGGCCCTGGACGCAAGCTGCTCTCTCCACATCAGTCCCACCACTAACAGTGCAACTACAGAAAACCTGGGGGTTGACTCACAATTCAAAGAACTAAAAAGACCACAACATTTCATCCTTACATCTCAAGCAGAGGAAAAATAGGCCTCTGTATTTCAGAAGTTTTATTTCCATCTGAGCTAAGAAAATCTGGCTGTAACAGACAGAATACAGTCCTGAGTGGCTCAGTGGCCCTACACAGAAAGCAGATCAACTCTGACTTATACCAACAGACAAGCACATTCATAATATGAAATCAGAACCATCTTACATAATGAAAGAGTTCAGACATTGGCTCTAAAAAGTCTCAGGTCAAACGTATTCCAGGTTTATACCAGCTGTTTCTCATGTTTTCTATAACAGTTTTCACCCTAATAGGTCAAGGAAGACTTTCTCCTATGGTTTACTTTAACAAATTGACGTCAAGAATACGTATTTTTAGCAATAAACCATTCATGTACTCAAACATTTTTACTAAATGCAAGTGTTTTAGGCCAGTTCTGCTCTTGCAGAGATGGTACAGCTACAAAGGAGCACTTTAATATAAACCCGTCTATTTTTTGGCTAATTTAAGCCACATCTTTGCAAAATGATAAACCAGCTCATCTTCCTTTGCTCTCTGGTCAGGGAAGGAGGTGTGCTCCTTGTTTTGACACAGGACTCAAGAATTCTGTTATGGGGGGTGGGGGGCATTGCATAGGACACAGCCGAGACTTCACACAGGTTCCATGGGTGGCGTAAATAATGAAATAGAGAGCAACAACATGCTAGTAGGAAACAGGAGCCTCTAACTGATGGTCCCATCTGGTAAATAAGGAAACAGAGACCCAGACAGATGCTCACAAGCTCACCCAAGGTCAAAGGGCTGCTGAGTGGCAACGCCAGAGGAAACCCTATTACCACGTATCTGCTCAGCTGCATCCGTGAGACTCTGAGGCACAGCTCAGTGTCCACTAACCCGGTGTGGGAGTGAGACCCTGCGACACTCCAGCGCCCACTCACCTGGTGCTGGAGTGGTTCTCTATCAGATACCAGGCAGCCGAAAAGTTCTCACTCGTAAAATCAGCACTCATTCCAGGGAACAGCGCTTCCAAGTCCTTCTGGGGAAATTTACCTCTGAGGGAGAAAAAAAGGTTTAAAATATATTTCAAGTGCGCTCGCTACAAAGATGGAACAGTAATAAACATGAACACCAACCGCTACAATTATACACACTTAGGTGTTTCCAGATCTCGGTCACAGGGAATCCTGCTGCAGTGAACATGGGGTGCAGGTCACCCCGAGATCCCGATTTCATCTCCTTAGAATAAGCACTCAGATGCAGGACTGCTGGATCGTGTGGTAGTTCTAGTTTTAATTTCCTGAGGATCCCACGTGCACCGTTAGCTGGTGACCCGACATCCATTCCCCACCGGATCAGACAAAGCCACCCGCACGGCCTGGCACTCGTCCCGCCCGAGTGTGAACACGGATCACTCGGAGCAAGCGTGCCCTCTGTGCCCCTCACTGCTGGGGTTGTGTTCTGACCAACAGCATCCAAAGAAAGAGCTGTGGAAGCATCTCCGGGAAAGGTTCCCATACTGTTAAGGAAAATCAAGAAGAGACCACGTCTTTCTGCCCTAGGCTTCGCTGTGTTTTATTACCTATTGTGTATTACTATTGTTTCAACAGTATTTTTATTGTAACATGATTATTTACTACGTATTCCTACAGCTTCACCGCTAGAAATCGCTAACGTCATCCTGCAGTCAGGAAGGAAATCAGCGTCATGCCAAGGGCAGGAGACCCGCCAGCTGGGCTCCTCACGTCTCGGTGAAGTTTCCGAGCCACTGGCTCAGCCAGTCGTTGAGACCAACATCTCTGGACTTCGTATGTTACGAAAAAATAAGTATCTTTTTTGTTTAAACCAAGACGAACTTTTCTTTTCTGCTACTTACAGCTGAAGGCACCTAAAAGTAAATGTGGAACGGGAGACCTGGAGAAAGCAGACAGCCCGCCAGCGCCAGGAGGCGGTGCCGCTCCGTGGGCGCGCCCACAGGGGCGGGGAGTGCCCAACAGGGCTTGCAGGGTTGCTAAGCTTTCTGGGTAGCCTCAAGGACGCAGCTTCGCCTCCCTAAGGTGCCGTCTGCTCACGGGGACGGCAGGGCCACAGTGTCTTCCTCTTAGGAATACGCTGAGGGTGAAAGCAACGCACGCGGAAAGCTCCGCGGTTCTCGACACCAATAAACGTTCAGAAGGGTTACCTGCTGTTATTTCTATTCTTTACACTTAGTTCTTTGTATTTAACAGACTCTTTTCAAAAGCACTGTTCTATTCGATTCTCGTAACACAGTGAGTTACAGATTCCCGTTTTGCGGTGAGGAAACAGCCTCAGAGACGGGGCAAGTAAACATTCAGAACAGAAGCCGATGCTTCCGCTGTCAAATCAAGAACCTGAGAATCCTAGGCGTGGCGTAAAGTGACAGCTACAAACCTAGAAAGACAGGAATTGAGGGGGGGGGCGGGCAGTGACTCGGGTGTGGGAAACTGCTAACGGTCTTGACAGCAGCCTCAGCCGAGGCAGACACACTAGGTCCGGGGTGCGAAGCCTGGAGAGGTGAGGCAGGATCGTAGGCTCTGGCCCACCGAGTGCAGCCAACAGTCAGTGACAGCAAACTATGCCGAGTAACACAAACCAAAGCCACGTTCACACCAGCTGGAGGGGACAGCAGCACACAGCCCACGCTGTAACCCGTGAAGTGTTTTCGCTAAGGAATCAACCGTTTCGGAAGCTGAAGACCCATCAGAGGGCCGTGTGAGTCGAGACGGGACCTCCTGGAAGGTCCGGTCTCGGGGGACCCAGTACACGGACCACGTGGACAGAGGCAGGACGGCACACCTGCACTCACGTTCGAGTACGAGCACGCCCTGCTGACGGCCCGTGAGCCACAGGGCAGCAGAAATCCTCCTGAGAAAGCGTCCCACCAGGCACGGCATCATCGCCGCATCACCGCGGGTGCAAGGGCAGCGGAAAGCGGCTCCCACGCCCTGAGCGCATCGCTCAGACCCGCAGCTCTCACTCCAGTGCCTGCGTCCCGCTGCATTAAGTGGCCAGCTCGCTGCAGGGTGTGGGCTTCTCCTATGTTTTGGTCTCACGCCGTTTCGGGGCCGAAGGCCTGCACCACAGCCCACAGACGTGCTTCTGTGAATCCCCAAAGGCGGCCTCCCTCCCACACTCACACCAGGAGTGACTCTGCGCCTCTCCTCACTTTCTGGACGCAGCAGGAAAACGCTGCCTCTTCCTTCTGCTGGAAATCCAGCCTGGTGAGAAGCAAGACCTGCGCTGCTCACACACCCACGTGGCGCGGGACCGAGACCAGCTGGCCGCTCGGGACTGCGCCCCAGTGACAGGGGCACAGAGCAGCCACGGGCCGCACGGAGCAGGAGGGCCGTGCGCCGCTTCAGCACCCACACTCCCACAGAGCTGCTGTCTGCAAAAACATTACTTGTAAATATGCTCATGTTAGGCAAAGAGTGCTTTTAAGAAATAAAACCTAGTGAAGGCTTTTCCTTAATATGAACCAGTTTTTACCTTCTTTTACAATTTTAATGTCTCTCATAATCTAAGCAGTGCAAAGAACACATATTTGTGACGATCAGTATAATAAATCGTAAATACTGACTTTTTACAAGCAAACCTTAGTCTCAATCCAAAGCGAAGTTTTTTTTCTGAGGAATTAGTAGCACTTTGACAGGTGTCAAGGCACCATGTGTACGCAGCATCAGGGCTGAGCAGCCGAGGGAGGCCCGTAACTGCCAGCTGGCCAGCCTGTGGTGGAAGGCGGCAGCCCACGGCGCGGGCGCCAACAGCGCCGTCCTCCAGCCCTGACTCATGGCAGAGCACTCCGGCCCGGGTCACCCCCACCCGCTTCTCCTGCTCAGAGAACCAGCTGCCACGGCAGGACCCTCAGGGACCCACCCAGTACATGCGACTGCGCTCCCACAAACACCCACACTGCCACCACCGGGGGTGGTTCCTCTTCCAAAGGCAACCTCACCACTTCACTGTGGGAACTCGTCGGGACCACGGTTCTTTCTAACAAGCACTCACAATTCTTCAACAAGCGAATAATTAAATCCTGTTACTCCTTCTCTGACGACATTTTTTAAAAAATTGAAAATAGGTCCCCCCCAGCCTTTTAATTATAAAAGAAACCCAAAGTGACATTAATAGACAGAAACAAAACAGAAGGTAGACAGATAGTAAGGAAATGCTCTTAGGGATCCTCACCTGAATTGTAACCCATTCTCTATGGAGACGGAAGACTTGGACTGAAAAATACGAAGTGAGTCAGGGAAATAAGACCGACCCACATCGACGTTTTCACATCTGCTTGTCCTTTTCTATTCTCTTTTTCTAAAATAAGACTTCTCCAGCTGAGGTCAAAGAATAAAACAAATGCAGGTTTGCTGACAGAACCTTTAAAAAGTGAAAAGGAGCGTGGAGAAGCATTTTTCGGCCCAAACCGCCCTCTCCTCCTGGTTTCCAGCCCTTCCCACCCTCACCTTCGTCTTCCTGCTACCCGGGATCTGTCCTCTTCTTCTTTTGGCCAAAAACTTGTGCAAGACCTTACACAGGCAAGAAGGATCCTGGACGTCCTAACTGTCTGGAGGGCCTGCCCAGGGCCCCTGTCCACTCCCCAGGTCTCCTCTGTTCCTCGTGGAGGCTCTGCCGCAGGACACAGGTGAGGAATGACAGGGACCAGGGCGCCCAGCGGGTGAGGATGCAACTGACGGCCACGCGGTGGACGTGCTGGTGCACCTCGGCCCTCACTGCCCGGACGCCTGGCCCTGAATTCCCTCGGAACTGGTTCCCATTAACCACTGAATTAAATAATGCTCTGACACGCGTGTATTTTGCACCTGCATGAGAGTCAAGATTTTACCTTTCCAAAAGCTATCCTTTCATTATCCAGGGCTGAACAAATTATTCCTGAAACTTCCAAGTAACAGCCTGAAAGAAATATTACTGTTAATTCTATCCCATTTAAGCACCTCTTGAACTAATGTACATATACTATTTTAGATTTTACTGCAATTTATTACTCTGAAATCTCAATAGTTATTAAAAAGATTCTCTCCCAGAGCAGTGAGCAGTGAGCACGCAGGAACAAGGATCACAGTGACAATGAGGGACATGTGCTCTCGCCGGAGCTCACAGCCACCCTGTGACGCAGGCAGCCGCCTCTGCAAGTGGGGAGGCAGGGGCCGACTCCACCGCGAGGAAGTGGCAGAGCCGATTCAAGCTGAGAGAGGGCTCCGGGCTCAACCCGACCACCTCCCAGAGAAGAAGGAAAACTCTGAAGAGCTGAGCACTCACGGTGACGTTGCTTCTGGCCCGTCACCCACGTCGCCTATAGGTAATTCCAAACTGTGTGAAGGAAAGGGCTACGGGGCCTCCAGCCGAACCCCTTCATGGGCAGCAGCAGTAACAGGAGGGATGAAGACCATGGAAAGGTGAGAGGGCGCGCACAGGTGAAGAGATCAAGGAGCCAAGCTGAACACGGAGAAGTCCATTTCACGATGCAAGCATCCAACCGAGTCCAACTTCGACAGTTCTGTAGTTCTGCCTAAGGCTCAAAATTCACACGCCTTTCCTATGCCCCGTGCCTGCGTACAGAACCGATCTTCCTCACAAAAGAGCGATTCAAAGGGCCCCTGCTCCACACGTCCTCAGTGGCGGGCCCAGGAAGGAGGCTGGCACTGCAACGCACGGAAGCAGGCGTGAAAAGGTTCACTTTCAACCACAGGGCCCACTCAAGCAGGAAACTGTGCTCAGGCAAACACTGAGCGATTCCTGTTCTCTCCTGGACCCTCTCGACCCTTAAACCCTTAATTTACTGGGCACCGAAATCCTTCAGACAGCTCCCGAGTGACCCACACTGCCAACGAATTTCAGAGCGGTGACCCAGGGCAGCCCACGCTCACCAGGCCTTCTCCAACGCAGGACAGCTTCCCGAGACAAGCACTTGCCCCCTTCCTGCCAGCCAGCGGCAACCACCCCCGGTGGAAAGGCAGCTTGCTTCTGATTTCCTCGTTTTCTTCAGAGCAGGCTTAGTGGAAAGTCTTCTCCACTCCTAGAAAAACCTACAATAACACTACGGTTGAAGTGTCAACAGAACTAACTGGTCGCCTCCAGGAAGCGTTTGCGGAGCGACGCTCAGCGTCACTTCGTCACAGAATCTCCAGGCCGGGAAATAAACCAGACACAACTAATGTGTTCGATGCACTGACCAAGGAAGACCCAAGGATAAGGCGCTGATCACAAAAGCTACAGAAACAGCGTGTAGAGATACCCTGATTGTGGTGGTGGTTTCATGCGTGTGTACATCTACCAAAATTCATCAAACTGTGCATCCGAAATACGTGTAGTTTATCATTCAGGAACCATAAAGAAAAAAAGGTGTTAAAAAAAAGGAAAGGGAATTCTAGATTTGGTTCAAGACAACCTGAAAGAAAGTTAAGTCTGAGGTGACTACAAATCATATTTGAAGCAGTAAACAAAATGACAGACTACACTGGGTCTAATTATTGTAAAACATTTCCCTAAAAATGAAGCATATGAAAATTCTATTTTGACTTCACGTACCATCTAAGTATTTAAATTTACCAACTTCTAATAACACATTAATTCTCGTACCATGAAAAGTATTAGTTATTACAAACTTCAAGCTGCTTTTCCTCTTCACTAAAGGTAAGTCAAAAACTTAAAAGGTTAAGTAGTTTCTACCAAAAGCTTTAATCGGAACTCACCGCAGCAGAGCCGACCCGGCTCCAGAGAGAACACAGACGCGTCCTCAGCTGCGCTCCCAGGGCCCTGGGGCCCGACGCGCTCCCTCTGGGTGAGGAAACTTCCCGCAGCTGGACGCAAAGACAACGGAAGGAAAGCGGTACTCACGTCTGGATCTCGATGCCAAGGGGGTTGGCGGGGCGCAGCGACAGGGGCGGGGCGCCTTTACTCCTGTCGGTGCGAACGTCGTAGTAGCTCATCTCCTCCACCCACACGGCCGACTGGTCCAGGATCCCTACCGAGACAGGCCTCGAGTGAGAGCACGCTCCCGGGGCCTTTCTCAGCCTTACCATGCGGCTCCTTGTTTTAAAGACCTCGTTCAAAATGCACACAACGATAATTTTTAAAAGATTCCAGGGAACAAATGCTCCAGATTGCTTTTTTAAATGGCTGGTGGCTTAATTAAAACCACTGAGAATCTATAAAAAGGCAAAAAATAACACCTTGATTGCACTGTACATTATTCAACAGAGAAGAGAAATTAAGACTCCAAGCAAGTTCTGCTAAAGCAAACTAATTTTACAAATAAAAAAAGTACAATTAATTAAATTTGGTATACCAACAAAGCATCCAGCAATTCCTTACGCAAAGAAGTCAGTCAAACACCTTCATCGAAATGAGCAGGATATTTAGGGAGAGTGAACAAAGCACAATGTATGGAAACAGGGCCTCTCTCCCATGACAGCCCGGCGCCACCCTCCTCCACACAGCTCCTCCGGGCGCAGCGCCGCGGGCCAGGCTGCAGCAGAAGGTGGGCGGGGCCAGGGGCAGAGCGGAGGGTCAGGCAGGACCGCTGGTGACCCTCTGGCTCCACCAGCACCCCAGCTCTGCCAGGACCCAAGGAGGCTCCCCCAGCGGCCACAGCTCAGGTCCAGGTGCTCCCGAGTTCAGATCCACAAGCCTTTACTGAGCCTGCACTGTGGTACGTCTGGGGGCAGTGTCTCAGAATAAAACCAATACTTTCATGTAAGTTCTCTTTATCTGATGTATAAACATGATTCAAGATGACACTGGAGTCTGTCAAAATGTCTTTTAAGCTCCTCCAAAAACCTGAAAACAAGTTTCTGCTTTAATTTCACAGTTCAGTTTTCAAAGACATTAAATAAAAACCAGTGAACAAAAACAAGAATATTGTGTGTATATGTACATGTCTGCATACACAGGTGTACACATACGTAAGTTCCATTCTGAATCTTCCCTTAGATTCCGCAACTTTTTATGTATTAAAAACATCCAGGAATTTAAGGAAACAGTGCTGAAGAAAGGCTCTGCACTCCAAGACAGAAAACAAAAACAAGTGCCCAATTCCCTGCTTTTCCAACTGAGAGCAGCACGGCCGGGGCTGCAGTGTGCCTGGGACGTCCGTCCAGCACACAGGGAGTTATCGAGGGCTGACCACGTGCAAGTCACTGCAGGCCCACACGCGACTCTGACGTGACGTCTCCTCCAGCAGGGGCGGCCACACACATGAAGAAACACGCAAAATACTGAAGTACTGACACCCACTGTGCGGGGGCTGCGCCAAGCACGGCCACGTGTGCTCGCGGTCACTCAGCACCGGTCCCTGCACGCACCCAGAGCAGCAGTGCCAGCACCCAGAGCGGGCTGGAGCCAGCTCTCCTCCCAGCACGGGGGGCGTGTTAGGTGCGTGAAGGGAACGGGACGTGATGGGGCACCTGAGTGTCTCTCCTGGTTGGAGCTCAGAGGCACAGTGAGGTGGGCAACTTTCTGTCCGGGCCTCAAAGGACGCGGAAAGTGAGGGAAAGGAGATTATTTAGAGAGTGTTACTGCTAATTTGGCCAAATCAGGAAGATATTTCACCTCAAATCTTGACTTACCGTGGAAAGAAGCGCAACTATTGTATTCGAGACCAGGGAACTAAAATGGGCATCTCGCTGCGTCAAAGGGGCAGGTTTTACACAGAGCTCGGGATGACAGCTCTCGTAATCGCGGCCCTCGGGTTCTGCTGGCTCACTGACTGCTCACTCAGCAAGCCGCCTTTTCAAAAGCAATGCACATTTTAACCAACATCCCAAGTTCCTGAAAAAGTAAACAAACTGAACCCAAGTTCCTGGCATATGAGACTAAGTAACCGTTACACTAATTTACCAGTATTCGATTTTGCAAGACAAAGCCAGCTTTTATCTTCCTTAGAGTAAAGTCACGGAGGTGATACCTATTTTCTCAGGCTTGAGCAGCTTGAAAGAGACCGTGGAGGTCCCTCTGCCTCCGGACTTGGTCGTGACGATGATGTCGCCCCTGTCGTTCTCGGCCCGCCCCACGCGACACACGATCTTACTCGCAGATATCCACTCCGCCGTCAGGAGGCAGTTGTGCCCACAGATGGTCAGACCTGCAAGCAGAAACGCGTGTAACGAGCCCGAACAGCAGCGCCTCCGTGAAACACCGCAATCCTCCGCGCGGGACCAGCACCGAGAATAAACCCAGCAGCGGCACTCCCCGGCTCGTCGGTCACTTGTTTCTGTTCCTCAACACGCCCAGTATTATCTGCAAATAAACTACAGTCTCTGTTGATCTTCTGTCTGTTTTCCTCTGATATTTAAGACGTCTTTTAGGTTATCTTCACGTTTCTTCAAACATCGCTAGAATTAGAAAACAACGACCGTAATGACAAGCAGGCACTCCGGGTGACTAGACTTCGACACACTTGCATTGCTTTCACATGTATCAGAAGTTACTGCTATGCCAGAAGTCCAAGTTACTGCTACAAAGCTCTAAAGCTATGAATACACGCATACATCACTCCCTGAAAAAAAATGTATCCATCTTCCCGAAAACAACCTGCACACACCTGCACTGGTGTTCAGTTACAGAAGACGCTACAGAAGGGACTACAGCGGGCACCTTATTTTAAGCCTGTGAAATGCAGTGAGTGTTCTCGGGCGCTCCCGGCTACACCTTCAGTCTTCACGTCTGCCCAGCACCCCTGCACAGGCAGTCCACGCTGCCTCCGTGCTCCCCACTAGGCACTGTCGCCGGACTGCACTCTGCTCCCAAAAAGTTCAGCCCACGCCTGGCATCTCCGCCCCGAGTCCAGGACACCGCGATGTAGGCAGCGACCACACAGGGAAGCCCTGAGGGCCATCGCGGGAGACGGGGCCCCACCGACCCCAGCATCCCGGCAGCGCTTTCCCACAAGGCAGAGGTCACCGTGGGAAACGCCTGCGGGCGAGATGAGTCCACGTGTGCGCTGCAAACGCCGAGACGCTCCCCACCTCCTCTTCTCTCCCTCAACTTCTGATACCGCTCAGAGTCGAGCAGGGCAGCAGAACCTCGACTAACGCAGGTCTGGCTGGAAAAATGCAGGGAGAGGTTCAGGTCTCTTCTGCTAGAACTGACAGCACTGCTTAGTAAGAGTGTCATATTAACCATAAAGGAATAAAAGCAACTCTATTCTAAAGACATTTATTGAAATAATGACTTCAGAGAGTTCCCTAAAATATCTATTACTATTTATTCAAGTAAGGAATTTAGTTTTTCTAATGATAGCACTTAAAGGTTCCTTTAGGACTAAGTTTTCTGTTGGTTTTTTAAATGTGTAACGACATTAACACATTTTTAGATGCATTCATAATTCAAAATTATTTTTCCAAGTGAGAATGTCTTGCTAGCTTTCCTGATAACCAATTTTTATTATGAAAAATTTAAGCAATTTAAGAGATTAAAAGCATCCCTGGAGCGCTCCATCTCCAAGGTGAGCGCAGGGGACACTTACTCAAATCATTCTTATGCACACGTAAATTAGTCTCCGTTTTTTCCAATGAATGGGAAACACCTTAATTTATGAACTGCTTAATTAGAGACACTGGATATTCTGGTGTCACTCCAGGTCAATATATAACTTCTGTGAGACCCACGACGGCACACGCGGAAAAAGGACCCGTGACAACAGTTTATTCGAGTTGGAACTGCTGTAAAGATTCCTCTGATTTAGTATCTGTTCTGCATTTTAACTTAAAAAAATTAATAATCACCATTTAATTTTAAACAGATTGAAGCAGATCGTTTTAAATGTCATGGAAATGAAAGAAGATCATAAGCGTGTTTTTGTTAAGTACTGAAAGCCACGAAATATGACATCTTGTTTTTAAAGTAACTTGCAGAATTCCAAATAAAGTGTTTTTATAGTGTTTTACTTGGCTAGTGTAGATGTCATCTGAGTTAAAAACACTTCAATTATTTAGTAGGTTAAGTTTGCTTCCTAAAAAAATGATTTCTTGTTAATACAAGCAGGGCGAGAGCCGAACTAGCAGGTTTACAAAAGTCACACGCACTCAGCCAAACGGGAACAGCCCTGCCTGGGCCACAGCCAGAGTGACGTCCACCCAGCGGCCAGCAGCCGCGTGCGGGGCTCCCTGCGGGGCAGAGCCTCCCTCCTAAGGGTTTTTCCCACTTTGGATAAAGAAAAATCTGCAATGAACTTTGTCAAAACACCGAGACATGAGATTAGCCACCAGGCATTAATCTTAGGAAGGCGGTCTTTCTCGTTTAACACGTCTGAGTTTTACTCACTGACACTCGGGTCGTTGCCACCCCTTGGCTCCTGTGAACACTACGGAAGTGCACACGGAGCTTTGAGGTAGTGACTTCATTTCCTTTGGATAGATACTCAGAAATAGGACTGCTGGGTCATATGGGAATTCTATTTAAATTTTTTTTCCCATTAAACTTTGTTTTAATGGCTTTCAAAATTCTGTGGCAGATTTTTGGTTACAGCCATTAAGAAGTACTGATTTTAAAAACTAGTAACTTAAAACTGCCACCCCCACCCCTGCCACACACACAGTGGCCCATAGAACAGTCTCCTTTATCACTGGCTTTTACCATAAAACTTGAATGGCCAGTAGAGGCAGACAGCTCTGAGGCCGCCCTGCACCACCGAGGAAGAGGCGGCACCAGGGACGGTGTCATGCAGCCTTGTAGACTTCGGGGCGGGCTGGGGCCCTCGACCACTGCTGTGGTGCCAGCACAGCAGCTGTCCATCTCACGCCGGGTGAGGGTCAGCAGGGCAGCTCTGCACACCCTGGGCTCT